TAAAAAGTAGCCCACTCCCCCAAATCCCAACTCTGGAAAAGAGGTTAGCAGTGCCACCTGCTGAGAGTTTGGGCACATTGCAGGCAAAACCACTGCTTGCCCAGAAAGGTAGGACAACTACACAGGCTAAGTCAATGTCACATCATGCAGAAGGAGCCATGCTAGCCATTCCTAGAGACTGCACTGGGAGCCGCATTGTGGCTTGCCAGAGACAATAGTCTCCTAGGAGCAGAGCCCTAGTAAAGGAATATATGATTGAGGCTATAAAGATCTCAGGGGAAGGGTTACTCACAGGCAGTCAGCATTTTTTCCTTACAAGTTCTGGTAAGAGTTCTATTTATGGGGCAGCTAGGTGGTGCAGTGAATAGAGCACTGGCCCTAAAGTCAGGAGGACCTGAGTTCAAATCTGGCCTCAGACCAAACACTTGACACTTACTAGCTGTGTGACCCTGGGCAAGTCACTTAGCCACAATTCCCTTTTTAAAAAAAAGAGTTCTATTTATTTTCAATGACCTGTAAACAAAGTTTTTCTTCTCTGAATTTTGTAGACTATGTAGGTGAGAGGGGAGTTAGTGACAATACACATGGCAGTGTTCTGCATTTTCTGAGTAGGGGTAATAAGCTTGACAAATGGACACTCATGCCCTTTGTGGCATCAGAGAGTCTCTGAAACAAGAATTACGTATCCTTTCTTGGCCAACTGTCTTCGGACTTCTGCCACCTACTAAGTGTGGCACCTACAGCAATTGGTTTTCCTTCTCTGAGCCTCAGCTTCCTCTTCTGTAAAGTGAGAGAATTGGGCTAGATAAATCAATCAACAAATAAACATTCATTAATCACCTACTGTGTTCCAGGCACTATACTAAGCACTGGATCGATAAGGTCACTTTCAGCAGTAACATTCTGCAATTTGGGGTAAGGTACTAGGGAGAAAGCAAGTCTGGAAGCTTCGTAGGCGCAGACAGCTCTGCCTTCTCCTAATTGGAGAAAAGACATGCACTTAGAACCAATCAGCAGACAGTACTCCCACTATCACTGCCCCATTACTAAAGTCTTTAGAATTCATGCCCATCAGGATCATGAGACCCGGACTGAGTTTCTGGGAAGCCTTGGCTGGACTGCAGCTCTAGTCAAGGTCATTCTTCTTCCCACATTCCAGCCTGTCTCCCCACCCAGCAGTGTCCAGAGTCCCCACCTGTCACACTCCTTTTCAACAACAAGTTTGCCCTCAGGATATCACAGAGCTGGCTTTAGGATGACTAATCCAGGATAGAACTCTATTCCTGAGCTCCACCCCTGGCGCTGATCCCCCCATTCCCCTCTCTGACCCTCCCAATCCCCTTACTGAATCCCAGCATTTTCAGTGAGCTCCCATCCCTTCTTCCCTATGCCCCCTACCTGTCTGCCTGAGCATCCCATTTTCTTATTGAATCCTTATCGCCATATGAACTTCCCAACCCTCTGATGAGCTGATCCCCTCACTGAGCTCCAATCCCCTATGCTGAACTCCCTATCTACATACTCAGCTCCCATCCCTTCACTGTGACCCCACATCTCCCAATGAACCCCTATTCACCTCACTGAGCTTTCATCTCCTATCCTGTGACTGAGCACCCTATCTTTTTTTACTAAGCCCAATGCCCTAACTGAACCCCATCCCTTCACTGAACCCAGTTGTTCACACTGAGCTCCCCTTTCCCTCACTGAGCCCTCATCTCCCTGCCCAAGCTCCTGTTCTCCACACTGAGTTCCCAGTCTTAGAGTTTTGCCTCCATCCCCAGGACAAGTGTTATTTTAATCTCCTTTCAATGGTGCTCCATACAGACCACTCAACAAGTTGACCAACTGTCAGAGATCCTTTAAAGAAAATTCCTGGGTTGAGTGGATGACTAAAGTAAATGATCTTTCCATCTCTCAGATTCTATGATTCTGTATGGTTATCAGTCAGATCACAGAATTAGCAATGGGTAAAGCGGCAGCAAAGCAAATTTAGGTTCAATATAATTTAAAAAATCCTAATAATCAGAACTGGCCAAAAGTGGAATCCCCATCACTAGAAGACTTCACTACAGGTCTTCAAATGGAGTGTGAATGACCACTTGACTGGTATGTTCTAGAGCAAGGGAGTCAAACTCAAATAAAAACAGATCCCTATAAGCCACATATTGACTTAGAAGACCACACAATGACATTATCTATGTTATGTTGTACATTTATGTATTTTGTTCAACATTTCCTAATTGCATTTCAATCTTGTTCTGGTTCCACTGGGAGCTCTGCCAGCAGCGTTTGGGCTCTGGCAGGTTGGTGTAAACGCTTTCCGAGGTTCCTTCCAACTCTGGGGAGTCTGGGATGGGAGTCTGGATTGAGACATGCAGAGTACAAGCCTGGCACTCAGGAAAGACCTGAGAAATCCATCCCCTGCTTAACTACTGCTCATACCGTGCTCTGTCTCCCCCTAGCCTGGTCACTGCTTTGCACTGGCTACCAGGGTCCCCCTGAGATCATCCTGCCTAGAAGGTAGTGCTGGATGTTGGCCTGCCAGAAAGCCTGATTTAGGAGACTTTGAGATGCAGTTCCTCTTTCTAGGAAGCAGGAAGCAGATGATAGCAGTTTGGAGAATACCAAGTATAAATGAGCAATCTTGTTCTCAGACCACAGCTTATGAAATTGGCTTACTAGAAATTCTCTTACTAGAAACATAGGCAGCTGTAAGTAGGAAAAGTACATAGATGCATTGTCCAGCATTGACACTGTGTAGGCTGATTTTGCCCAATTGGTTTTTGTTTTGATTTTATTTTTGGTGACAAGAAAGCATTCAGGGTGGAGGAAGGGTGTTATGTCATGAAAAAACTGTGGCATGAAAGAAAAATCAACAAAAGATTGTTTTCTTTTTTAACCCTAAGAAGAGGAGGGTGATTGCCAATGGGTGGCAGCTCACAAGATAGTTTCTGATTGAATAAGTCCAGGAATCTACCCATCCCTTGAAAAAGAAAAAGAAATATACCAAGTGTGGCCTATAAGGAGACAGGCATTGTTAACCCTTTATAAGTCTATACAGTTAATTCTTTAGTGAAAGCAGCCCACTATAGAAAGTAGAGACAGTATGGCAGAGTGGAAAGTTGGTTGGATTTGGAGTCAGTGGACCTGGGTTAGCATCCCTACCCTGAGGATCACCACCTGTGTGACCTTAGGTAAGGAATTTCACTTTTCTGGGCCTCAGTTTCTTCATCTGTGAAATAAGGGAATTGAATTATATGATCTCCAAGGTTCCCTCCAGCCCTAAATCTATGCACCTAATAAGGAAAAGGGAATTGCAGTGAGAGTTGGGAGCCCTGGGGTTCTAGATCCTGTTTTGTCATTGATTAACTAGGTCACTCTGACCCCCCCCTTCCCCCACCCCCAGGCCTCACTCTTCTTATTAAGGGGCAGCTGGGTGGACTTCCAGTCAAGATGGCCTGCCTCAGACATTTATTAGCTGTGTGGTTCTAGGTAAGGCACCTAAACCTTTGGGTACCTCAATTTCCTCATCTGTAAGACGGAGATAATAAGTAGTACCTTCCCACAGAATTATCTTGAGGAGGAAATGAGATAACACATGTAAAGTGCTTTGCAAACTTTAAAGTGCTCTGCAAATGCTAGCTATGAGGAAGCATAAAATGGAGCCGTTGGACTCTGATATTCTGTGTTCCCAGATTCCTCCCAGCTCTGATATACTATGTTCTGAGATGTCTCACCTCTCTAGCGCTCTCTGTTCTGAGACCCTTTCCTGCTCCGGCATTCTGTCTACTAAGATCTATTCCAGCTCTGACGTACTAGGATCTAAGGTCCCTTTCTGCTCTGACATCTACGTTCTAAGCTCCCTCCTAGCTCTTGCATTTCATGTTCTCAAGTACCTCCCAGCTCTGATGTTCTATGTTCTTAGGTCCCTCCCATCTCTGACATTGTATTCTTTTAGATTCCAAGCTTAACAGATGACTAATTCTAGCCTTTCCAATAACCCTTTACAGGTCAGCAGGTGGAAAAGTAGCAAATGTTCTTTTTTTTAAAAGTATTTATTGTTACCTTTTGAGTTCCAGTTTGTCTCCCTCCCTCCCAACCCTGCATTAAAGAAGGCCGATGTTTGACACAGATATATGTAGAACCATGCAATACATACTTCCAGTGATCAGTTCTTTCTCTGGAGGTGGATAGCATCTTCCTTCATAAGTCCTTCATAGTTGCTGTGAATGATCATATTACTCAGAAGAGCTTAGTCATTCAGTTACTTTTCAAACAGTACTGCTGTTTCAGTTCTCTTGAATCTGCTTATTTTTCTCTGCATTATTTCATGTCAGTCTCTCAATGTTTTTCTAAAACCAACCTGCTCATCATTTCTTTCAGCACAGTAGTATTCCATCACAATCCTGTACCGTGACTTATTCAGCAATTCCCCAGCCGATGGGCATCCCCTCGATTTCCAATTCTTTGCCACCCCAAAGAGAGCTGCTGTAAATATTTTAGAATATATAGGCTCTTTTCCTTTTTCCCGGATCACCTTGGGAAACAGACTTAATAGTGGTATTGCTGAATCAGCAAACGTTCTTTTTAAATTTGTTGTTGCAGAACGATTATTGGGGGAAGGGGAGGAAACAATAATGGGGAAAGGGAAGGAAGGTTTCGGGTGCGGATATGAAAATGAATTAGTGATGTGTAGGTGTGTGTGTTGGTGTCAGAGAGTGGAGGAACAAAGGGGAGAGCTCGGGAGATGAAAATAGTGGAGCTATGTGGAGAATGTGTGTGAGCAAATGCATAGCCCCACTCCAACGCGAACTCCCCCAAGAGAAGCTGCCCTGCTCCCCAAGCCGAACATGGCCTAATGGAAGGTAGCCAGAGCAATTGAGCCGCTGCAACTAGTGGGACTCTTCGAGTTCTCCCCCAGCACACACCCCCGCCCCCGCCCCGGGGCAGGGCCGGGTCTGATGACCAATGAGGCAGGAGCTGTGGTGGGCGTCCCGCCCCACGCCTGCCTAAGAATAAGATTGCGCGCGGTGGCCCTGTGGACAGCTGCTGGCTCTTGTTCACCTGAAGCAGGTGGACGACGCAGCACCCAGCACCCTATACTCGGGAGCGAGAGCGAGGAGGATGCCGCAGGAACGGACTGTGCGCCTGCAGTACGGGAACCGCATCGAGGCGGTGTGTGTGCTGGGCACTCGGCTCTGGGTCGATGTCTACAGGTGAGAGGGGTCTGCCCAGACTCCTGTGCCCGCATCGAGAGGGCCCCGGGCATGGGGACAGCCCGCATCCCGCCTCCCTGCTGCTGCTTAGTCACGGCCTCTCCCCGGCACTTCCCCTGCCCCGGGCTCCCTCTTCCCTCCCCAAGGAGACCTTCTCCGGTACTACTCACCTTTGGAAGCCCCCTCGTGTACAGCCTCTGCAGGGTCCGTGAGCCCCCTGAACCTACCCCTGCCCTATTCTATGGTCCCAGCTCCTTTTTTCTCTCGTTCCTATCTCCACTGCCTCAAATCCTCAAGCACCTCTTCTCTCTCTCCATCCCAGTTTCTCACATCCCTTCTTCTGCTGGTCCCAAGTCGGTCAATCAGGGACTCTCTTTTGCCTTTCTTTTATCCCCAGCGTTTAGCACAGTGCCTGGCACATAGAAGGTGCATAATAAATGTTTATTAACTGCCACCTCTTCTCTCTACTGCCGTCCCTGGGTCCCCAACACTGTCTCCCTCCTCTCTGTCTTCATCCCAATCTCCTCCAGTTTCCTCTGTCCCAATCCCAGCTTTTCCCCTACCCCAGCCCCCTGCTTTGTTCCCACACCCTTCCTGCTCCTATCCCAGTTCTTCCCAACTCTCCTCTGCTCCTCTCTGCCCCTGCACGGTTCTTTCTCTGCCCCCATACAGACTTCAGTCTGTGCTCCCAAACCCCATCTTCCTCTTTCTGCTCTGGTCCATTTCCTTTTCACCCCTTACTTCTCCATACCACTGAGCTTCTTGTCCTATATATAGTTCTTATCTCTGTACCACCCCCCTCCTACTTTTCCCTCCTTCCTCTGCCTTTCTCATTCTCCTTAGAGCACCCTAGTTTCTTCTCTGCTTTTTTCCTCCCTTCTTGTTCATCTCCTATTCCCACACTATTCCTTTCTTCCTTTCCCCACTTTTCCCATCTCTTTCCTCCTATTTCCTGCCCCTTGCCTGCCAACAACGTCCCTCACAGCTGCCTCAACTTCATCTCTTTCCCTTAAGCCATTCACCCCAACTTTCCAACTCACCGGCTCTCTTTCAGCCACCTCCTCTTTGCGTCCTCCTTGGCCCCAGCTTGGCCTTCCCCGACTTCCTCTGCTCCCAATCCTTCTCTCCCTATCCCCACTCTAGTTTCTCTTTCTCCTTGTATCTCAGCTGAGCTCTCTTGAAAGGGTTAGCTCAGACCCAGACCTTACCCCTTAGAGAGGACAGGAGAGAGATGTGATCCTGGGAATCTTGGCCCCCTGGGGCTGCTCTGCAGCTAATGTTTCAAAGCCCCACAGGGATGACCTTAATGATCTTTCCTGACTCTGCCCAAGTGCCTCTATCCCAGAATCCTTCCCCAGACTTCACCCCTCTGAGCCCTGGAAGAGTCTGTGGCACACCCAACGGGTTGTTTCCCACTGAGCTGAACCCCAGGTTGAAAGATTGTCGTTTGTTGTTGTTCAGTCCCGTCCGTCTCTTCATGACCCTATTTGGGATGTTCTTGGCAGAGATACTGGGGTGGTTTGCCATTTCCTTCTCCAGTCCATTTTACAGATGAGGAAACTGAGGCAAACAAGGTTAAGTGATTTGTCCAGGGTCACACAGCTAGGAAGTGTCTGAGGCCAGATTTGAACTCAGGAAGATTCATCCGACTTCAGGCCCAGTGCTCTGTGCACTATGGTGTCACCTTGCTGTTGTTTAGATACTCCCTATTGATCCATTTCCCCTTTTTTCTTTGGGTGTGAAGGTATATGAAAGGCAGAAAAGGGACCCCAGCCACCAGGGGCAGGGCTAGAGACGGCAGTAACTAGAATAAGACTCGTAGAGATAGAGGGAGGTATCTCCTGCTCTGCCTCACCCTTCTCCTTGTCTCCTGCTGACTATAAGATGGAAGAAGGGTTTTCCAATTCCCCTGGCAGTATTGCCCATGACATATGTATAAACACACACCAGCCAGAGGAGAACTTCACCAGGCACCTTCTCAGGGGTAAATGATGAAGGCCCCAGAAACACACTGTTGAACTGTATCTTAGCACAGTATCTGGCACAAAGTCCTTCGTAATTCCTTGTTGCCTGACTAACTGGCCAGACCAATATGTCAGAAGCCCAGATTTGAAAGGGAGCCCAGACAGTATCTAATCCAACCTGCTTCTGAATAGGAATCCGCTCTAGAACGAATAGTGTCCCGGTGAGGCCAGGCTATAAGGAAGAGCATCTGGGTGTTCCAGGCTCTATTGCTCCTTCTCACACACAGAAGACAGCCCCAGGGCAAGGTTCCTCTAACTGGGGTCTTTGGGTATTAGAAAGAGCCCTTTCACTGTCATCAGTTCCATTCAACCAATACTTATTAAGCCCATCTTAAGTGTGAAAGGCACAATACTAGGCACTAGAGATATAAAGACAAAAGAAAACAATACCTGCCCTCAAGAAGCTTACATTCTGTTGGAGATCATAATATTGACACAGACAAATAAATGCAAAGTATACGTAAAGTCATTTCCAGAGAAAGAGAAGGCTAATAACTAGGGGAATAAGGAAGAGTCTTGTGAAGAAAGTGGTACCTGAGCTATGCTTGAAAGGAAGGTACGGACTCTCTGAAGAGGAAATGAGCAGAGCCCGCTTCAGTTGTGAAGGACAACCTGGTTGAAGGCGCTGACATTGGAAGAGGAAATGCTGTCTGTGGGAAACACTTTGCAGACCAGTCTGACAGGGACAGAGAGTGAATGTCAAAGAATATGAAATGAGACTAGAAAGATGGGTGGAAGCCAGAGCGTGGAAAGCATTAAATGCCAACATGAGTCTGAATTTTAGTCTGGAAGCAACAAGGAGCTTTTGAAAAGAATTTCTTTTTGAGCAGGAGAGTGACCTGATCAGATATATCCGAGGAATATCCATCTGTTAGGTGGGTGGAAGATGGGTTGGAGATGGTAATGACTAGAGGCAGGGAGGCCAGTGAGGAGGCTCCCGCCAGGACTTAGACAAGAAGTAATGGGTCCCTGAAAAAGGGCGCTTTGGTGGGAGAGGAAGAAAGGGGAAGAGACAGAAGAGATGATGGGAAGGTAGAGTTGAGAAGATTTGGCAACTAATCAGATATGGGTGTGCTGGAGCCAGCTGCTCATTGTTCAATTTTCAGTGTGAGCATTTACACCTCATAAATTTCAATTGCTGCAATTTGGGACTTGATTTATTGCTTTATTGGTTGTCTAAATTTAAGAAAGTGTTATTAACACATGTTAAACTTATAAATGTATGTGTACTCCCCCCCCCTTCTGGAGAGCCTGGTTGTTAAACATTTACCAGCACACTCCTATATTGCTCAAGCTCAACAAAAGTTCAAAAGAAGGCTCAGCGAATCAAATCATCCCGGATTAGGTGATTGTAGGCTAAAAACAACAACAATAATAACGGGCATTTATTTGGCACTTTGAGATTTGCAAAGTGCTTTCTATCCACTATCTCACTTGAACCTCACAATGGTGAGGGACAGCAAGAATGGGGCTCACAGCGCTGGGCTGATTTGCTCCGTACCCCTGGGTTGAGGGAAAGGAACCGATCCAGGCTAACTCTGAGGCTGCAACCATGGATGACTGGAAGGACGGTGGTGCCCTCAATAGAAAAGGGGAAGTTTAGGGTGGGCTAGGAGGGAGATATGATGAGTTCTGGTTTTAGATATGTTGAGTCTGAAGTACTTTTGGGACATCCAGGTGAAGCTTGTGGTTAAAGACATGCCACTGGAATTTAGAGACACTAAGGAGTCATTAGCACAGAGATAATAATTGAACTCAATAGGAGCTGATGAGAGAGAGTAGTGAAGTGGAGAGAGACAGAGAGAAAGAGAGTGAGACAGAGTGAGAAGCAAAGAAGGGAAGGACAGAGCCCTTGGGAACACTGAATATTTAAGGGATGGGAGAAATATGATAATCTATGGAAGGATATTGAGGAGGAACAGTCAGAGGAGTAGGAAAAGAACCAAGAGAGAAGAGTTATGGAAGCCAAAGGAGCTTCCACAGTCAAGGGAGAAAGAGTAGTTGACAATGTCATAGAATGTCAGATGTGAACTGGAACTGACTTCTAGACCATCTAAACAAACTCCCTTATCATATAGGGGGAAAAGCCCTGGGAGATAAAACTCCTTCCCCATGGTCAGGTAGCCAGCAAGTAATAGAGCTGAGATATGAACCTGCATCCTCAGACTTGAGAGCTTACCACTGGACCACACTTCCTGCTTGTCAGCAAGCTTCTCTTAATTGTCAGCCTCTATTACCCAAATGCAGAGGCTGCATTTGGGGTGAGCTGTCTGTCACCAGGCCTCCTAATCCCCTAAGCCAGGGTTGTCACTATACATGCCTGTTTATTTACAGTTGGGCATTCTTGGTAATGCCATGCCAAGTTCCCAGCTGGAGGCAAGGAGGGTGAAGAGGGGCCGTGAAAAGAACCAGGGAGGAGGAAGGGATGAGAAAGAAAAGATCCAATGGGTGCTCTCATTGCCCCCTCTCTGGTCATATGGATGAGACAAGACAGTGAAGGGAGGGAGGTGTAGAGGTGATACGATAAAGCGAGAAGAGGAAGAAGAAAGTTGAGTTTTAGTGGTTGGGAAAACTCTAGTAATTTAATAGTGACCCAGGGCTTAAGCCCTCCCCCCACTCCACCCTTCTCTTCCCTCTCCATGTCCCCGTGCCAACAAGGCAAAGGTCCTCCAAGATCATCATCCCTTCACTCCCTCAAGGTAAGAAGCCCTGCTGTTCTCTAGGTGTTAGAGAAAACACAGTCATAGAACCCTATTAGAGCTGGAATGGGACCCTATGATAGAAAATGTTACAACCAAGATGCTTAAACTAAAGGAATTGGGGGCAGCTAGGTGGCCTTGAAGTCAGGAGGACCTGAGTTCAAATCTGGCATCAGACCAAACACTTGACACTTAACTAGCTGTGTGACCCTGGGCAAGTCACTTAACCCCAATTGCCAAAAACAAAAAAAGAACTAAAGGAGCCATAGAACAGGGA